AGATGTTGAAAGAGCTTTTGAACTCCTGTGGTTTGTTCGGGAGCATTTCCCCCGTCTGAGCCGAGTCCGTCAAGTTTTTTTTTTGCTTCAGAAATGACACAAAAATGTTTCAGCAGGATCTTATTGTGTTAGACTGTTTTGCTGTGTTAATTGTTAGCACTGAAGCCGTCTTTAATTTGTCTAACTGGCGGTGCTTCGTTGTCTCAGGTGGTCGTACCGCCGCTCCCAGGAAAAGCTCTTTTCCGGCAGCTTCCGTTTCGAGGGGATGATGGCATATTCGATGACTCTTTCATCGAGGAGCGGAGACAGGGTCTGGAACAGTTTCTCAACAAGTAAGCCCGTCTTTCTCCCTGTTTCCCGCTGCTTGGCCGTGAGGTTATTCTCCACACTTTCTTCTGCAGCTGCAGCCGTTCTCATACTTGGGCCTAAGCGAGGTATTATTTTTACTCCGAAGAACAATAAAACACTTTGTGCAATAAGTAGCTTCAACTTTTTCACTTCTCTTCACATTGTTAACAAACTGAACTCGGAGACAGGCAGGTTTTTTTTTTCCTCCTCTCCCTATTCTCCTTAATTCTCTTTTGTAATTACCTCGCAAAGGACAAGAACAACCAAAGAGGACTCAAGTGTGCACCCCCACAACATCGTTTTTCCCACATTTGTTTTGTTGTTGATGTGTAATTTATGTTAATTGCAGCTCAAATTACAGCGCGTGGTTCCATGGGATGGTGTGTGCACCTCTGCTTATTTTTGATCCAGCATGTGCTCGTTTTCAGCTGTGGAACAATAAAAGTTACAGTGTGATTGTAATTATTTGCTTTGATTGCAGACTTGGCCATTATCTTTGTTTCATGTGCAAATGCGCCAATGTTTCCTGTTGGAATATTAAGTGTGCAAAGACAGTTTTTGAAAATTAAAATCTATAAATATGCTTTTTTAAAAGGAGATGAGAATGTGTTGGTAATTAAGATTTTTCCCCCCTTTTGCTTTCTGTGAATGAAGCCGCGCCGTTGATCATATTATTGTTCAGGCTTAATCGCGGCCGACGTGGCTGCCGGCATTGTTTCGTCTGTGATTGAGAGCATTGTGAAGAGGAAATGTTTTCAAAAGCTAAACATGATTGTCGCAGTGAAACAAGTGAGAAGGAGGAAAAGAGACGAAACCGTCAGGTTTTGATTAGACGAGTAAAAAAACAGAATTCAGGTAGAAGAGCAGGGCTCGGATCCCAAAGCAAGGCCTTGGGGTTTGAACGTGCTTCTGTCCTCCACGCTCACGTTTCCAAACCTATCAAACGGAGGCTCGATCTGTCCGGTGACTGATCTGGTATTTGACCTGCCAATCATTCCCTGAGCTGCTTAATTTGTCCATCAGAGGTTAAGATGCATACACATGTTATCATGTTGATCTTTTCTAAGTAATTTATTCTATAAAAAATGTCAAGTTTGAGGGTCTCAGGTGCACAAGCTTGTTCTCATTACGTTTTTCTTGCGTCATCTGGACGGGCATTCAGGGAATGAAGATAAAGTGGCTTTAACAGAGGAAGCGCCGTCCCAAACATACAACTTGTTCCTTCAGAAGTAATGACATCCAGCTGCAGCGGAGGTGATGCAAAGCGCAGGTTGATTTAAGTAGCAGCAGCCCACATGGGAGTGGAGGTCCATCACCTTAGAGTCAGGAGAGACGTGCTGGTTGAAGGCTCCTGTGGGCCTTTTATTCTGGTGGTGGTTGTTTTTTTTGTGCATGAGTTTCACTTCCCTGTGATCTTATTGCTGCTCCTCCACAGTCAGAAGCCCGTAAACCGACGTCTGTTCTGTGTGGAGCGTACAGGAATTACTTTTAAATGTAAATACTGAATGAAGTCAAACACTGCCAAATAAATGAATAACCAACTTTCTTAAATGATTTCTGATTTATTTCACACGATGACACTTTAAATGAAGAACAGCAGCGTGTTGTGCAGTGAGGTTGTAGTTCCACACCGGGTTTAAAAGGTTTGATATGAACATTTAATCATCAGGCCTTTGTCCGTTAACATCGGCGTCACGATTTGTTTTGCTTTTCATAAAAAAAACACAGATTCCTGAAATATTCCTCCATAAACGGCTTGAATGTTAAGTGAACTCACTTCTTGCACAGGCTTTCAGAAGCTTGTTTCCTCCAGTCGTTGCTGAATCTTTCTCAGATTTCTACCTTTTCAGCCCACTGCCGTTCCTGCTCAGCCGTGTGTGCCTCTGTGTTCTGCTCAGGTGTCCAACCCACCTTTCTGCTCTGTTGTGTTTCAGAGTGGCCGGTCACCCTCTAGCCCAGAACGAACGATGCCTGCACATGTTTCTACAGGATGAGTCCGTGGACAAGAACTACACCCCATCCAAAGTCAGACAAGCCTGAAGGAAAAGAAAAGAAAAGAAAAGGTGGCTGCGCTCGGCCTGGTCCGCTTCGGCCCGGCTCAGCCTCGCTTTGCCCGACAACCCAAAGCTCTCTTCACTGCTCCAGGTTTCTCTCAAACAAAAAACATTTCAGTGACAACTCGTCCCTCCCCACGCCCCCCTAAAGTAATATCGTTCACTGCCTCTTTTAGTTTAATTAGTTCCCTGATCGGTGTTTGTTTTCACTTTCTAATTGGAGTCAGGAATGTTCGACACATAACTGTGGTTGAAAGTAATTTATAGTAATTTCTCTTTATGTCTGGAAATGCCACTAACATGGATATATTATGTATTTATCATTTAGCGATGTCTTGAATATATTCCTTTATCTAGTAACATTAAATGAGCGTTCTATGTATGCAGAGCTCTTGTAATGACCCACAGCGTTTGCCATGCAGTTACTGGCATGTTGCTCACCATAACTAGCAGCTAAACACACACACACACACACACACACACACACGGACACACATCTGATGGGCCTGAAATCACGCTGAGTCGATCCTCTATTCAAAAGGAAGCATGTGTGTGTGTTTGTCAACCAGCACCTGCCCAATTATCACCACGATTTTCTAGCGAGAAATTTCCACAGAGGGAACTGCAGTATTTCTACTGGCTATATGCATTTTGAGATTTGTATACTGCTGTGCCATTTTTGTTTATTTTGAAGATTTTCCAATAAAATAGGTGAAATGTCGACACGCATACGTACATTTGTTGATTTGGACTATTCGTCTGGGGGAACTGCTGCTGCTGCTGCCGGTGCAACTAGTTCAACTCTTGACATCCTGACATTGATTAATCAATAAACACACACGACCACAAAGACGTTTAAGGCCTGTGCTGATGCCGAGAGCTCGTTTAAACAGCCCTGAGTTTTAATTTAGAACCAAACCAACTGCTTCTGACAGGAGATAACTCTTTATAACAAAGGTGCAGCGCTAAAATACAACTCGTGAGGATCTAATGCATGAATGAACACAGCATGTATTATGTCGACCGTTTAATGTATTATTTATTAATGAATGTTAATTAGCACACATCAGATTGGCCGCTGTGAAAGCAGAGTGCCTGTTTATTCTCACTTTTAGTTTATTTACATGAACTAATCGTCTGCAGGTTTGTGGTGAGAGAACAGAAGTCGTGTGTCTTACCCTCAGCAGTCACTGTTTAACAGGAATGTGGCCCTTTTTTAAAAACTCATGACATGTCTGCATTTTAATGTCTTTTTAAAGACCTGAGTGCCTCCCTGTGATGACATGAGGACTGTTGCTTCATGCACTTTGTATTTGAGCCACCAGCTTCCTCTTTGCTGTGAAAGCATCGATCCTGCCTTCTTGTGTAACTGGGAGGCAGATAAACTCATGTAAGGGGTAGCTGAGGCACCAGCAAACCACATTAACTCAGGGTGATTTTTCCTTCATGATGAGCAGCAACACGTCCTGCTTTCAATCAACAAGTCATTCAGCCTGTGTTTGATGTCCCGTAGCTCACAGTGAGGACAGTCAGATGCCAAACACCGGCGGAGACGAGCTTCACACTGCAGCTGCTAGTTTGACTGTACGTCTATGAAAACTGTTTCATTCAGTGTCTTTTTTTATTCTCTTCGGTTACAACTCTAAACAGTTATAACTCCACATATTTACAGCAGAATAAAAACATCACGGGCCACACACACACACACACACACACACACACACACACACACACTCACACACACTCACACACAGAAAGAATAAAACATTTCCAAGTGCTGAATATGATTTTATCCAGTGTTAGTGTCTAACTTCACAGAGTCGACCTAGACATGTTGAAGGCTGCGCCTCGGACGGGACACACCGACACGGACAGACAGACAGACAGGAGCCACTGAAACACGAACACCGTCTCCAGGTGGATGCAGGTGACAGTCAGGAGGCAACGCAACGCTCGTCCTCTGAACAGTCTCCTTCCTCCGATGCTTCAGGGCTGGCACCTCTTCATGGTTTGGTTTCAGCACCGGATCGAGGAACAGCGACTCCCCCTCCCCCCCATTACGCATGCGTCATCTTTTTCTTTTTTCTTTTGTTTTTTTTTTTTTTTCTTTCTTTTTTTTGGTTTCCTCCGTTGGGATTGAACACAGCAATAAAAGATTGAATTGGTCGTCAAGCTCATTGGTCTCACAGACACTCAAACACATCTTAATGTACAGTATTTCTGTCTCTGTCGGACTCGCCAGGTGCTCTCCACAGTCTGCAGGTGAGGTTCAGACAACACAGAGTGCAGGTTTTATCAGCATCATACAGGCAGTTCTCTAATGACACGCTAATCCTGAACTAGAGCAACTGTTAACAGGCTAATTGGTGATCCGGCTGTGTGGCACTCTTTGTTTCCGCGGAGCCTCTAGGCCTAAATAGGCTACAGTAAGACAGCCTAAGAGATTTGTGCTCAGCAAAATGTTCAGCCCACGGCTACAGCTGCTATGATTTGACACTCTGTCCGCTGCTGGGTGTGTGTGTGTGTGCGTGTGTGTATGTGTGTATATGTGTGTCTGCAAGGGCCTTCACAGCTCCAGTCTTTTGTTTTTTTCAGTATTCATATATCGCTGGACTTGTACATGTCGGAGAGGAGCCTGGTGATGGGCACGTTGCCGATGGTCTTTTTGAAGAACACCTCCTCTATGGTGGACGGGCTGACGGAGCGGAGAGCCGGCAGCAGCAGGAGCAGCTTGCCGAAGCGACAGGGCTGAGTGGGGTACCTGAAACACATGACGAGGGTCAAAAGCAGCCTCGTGGTTTGTTTTTTTCCCTCTCTGCGACACCACGCGCACACTGTTGTCCAATTAGCGCACATCTGTAACGAGTAGCTGAGCCGCATCTGTGCGCACCTGCAGAATTACAGCGAGCGGCTCGGTGCCTCATTAACTTTATAATGAATGTGAGGAGCTGCGGGAGATGCGTGGAGCTTGGTGCGTACCTGGTGTGTATGTAGCTGTTGAGCGTGAGCTGGGCCTCGTCCTGGAGCGCTGCGATGGCGCTGGCGTTGCGAAAACTTCTCAGCTCGGTGCTGCCGTGCGTAGGAACTGTAAGACAGGCAGGACTGTAACTATATTTAACTCTTGCTCTGAAGTCCCCATCGCTTCTCCAGATGTGGTTTTAGGCATGCAGAGGAATCAGCTCCGTCAGTGGCTCTAAACACACATGATGCTCTGATAAGAGAGAGCTACTCACCAGCTTTGAACGTCACGATGCATTTCAAACACGCGAACTCTGTGGCGTCAAGACGCATCTGCCTGAACCTGGTCACCACCTCCTGAAGTGCTTGAATCTCAGACATGATCTTGTTCATCCGCTGAGACTCCGTGTTTTCAGTGTTCATCCCTTTTTTTTTTTTTTTTTTTGGATAAATATAGAAAACAAAAATGTCACCATTCAGGATAAAAGTGCAGCTCAGTGATGTTTCCATTTGCAGCTCATTAGTGTTCACATAAGCTCTTGTACCAACCAGAGACAGCGAGAAGAGTCGTGGAGTCCACAGGGATGGCCCACTGCGCGATGCCCAGGACGAACAGTTCCCTCCACGCGTCCTCCAGCAGAATGAGCTGTGAACCAAACCAGGAGTTCTTTTATTTAAGCAGTTCCTGCGTAAACATGGCATGGCTCCATGTTGTTTGAAGAAGTCCCAGTTTGTCACGTTATATCTCACATTAAATAGATTTATGGGGCCCTGCAGCGGGAGATCTTATTTAAAACGCTTAAAAACTCTCCTTCAGCCCTTCAGTCCAAATCGTACCTGATCAGATAATGGCAGGGTGGAGAAGGCGGGAACACTCTTCGCCCACTTGATGCTCATGAACAGGAGGCGCGCCGCCGACTCGCACACAGACTCCGTGGCCACCTCGTACAGGTACATGGGAGTGCCGCTGACCTCGTGGGGATACTAGAGAGAGAAACGAGCATCATGGTCACCACGTGTCACTTTGTGTTCTAATGAAACAGAGAATGGGGAACAACAAAGGTCAAATTCCAAGCCCCAGCACCTGGTTTGATCATTATTAGTGTTGCTTGTGGTGGATTTACGGTGAGAAATCTGATTGGCGGATTTGTGCTTCTTACAGGCTGTTAAATCGGGACAAGAATTTCAACTTCTAACCCTCAGGAGAAAAAAAAAGAAAAGAATAATCCTATAAAAACATTTGGGAAGTCTATAATACAAACATCATAAACCATTAAGGAGCTGCACATCTGAGAAATTAAAAATTATTATTTTTTTAAATAAAATAAAAAATAAAATACTAAAAAAGGAACCAAGAAATAATTCTGTAATTACGCATGATTGATATCACTGAAAGGCACCAAAATAAACCGTGTTAGGATTTCTAGTTATAAAATAATGCAGATTGTTTAACACTAGAAGTCACAGCCCAGCTCACCTTCGGGGTCGGTTGCGCCAGACCCACGATGGCCTGTCTCTCGGGCGTCGTGGCCACTGTGCTCATCTCCAGGTTGTGAGGCTCCAGCTGCGTGACGGTGGTGAAGAAGGGCGGCCCGGGCAGCGAGGATCCGGGGAAGTGTGTCGAGGAGCCGTTCACCTCTTTGTGGCCCCTGAAGTACAGAGCGACCTGCTTGCGGATGGTGGACGTGCGGGGCCCCCTCTCGTGCTGAACGGCTGTGGAGCGGGACACAGTGAAGGAATGGTTTCTGTCAGGGTAAATGGCTTCTTTATTTACTGCAGTTTCACGGTTACGACTCATTGAGCTATAATTGTTTTCTAAAAAATATAAAATAAAATATAAGGACTCAAAATGCAAATGTTCTGTGTGACAGAAACAAGTGGCTGTAATGAGTTTCCCACAGAGTGTAAATAATGTCAAACAAGCTGAGGGCAGGTAGCCTAATTATCAGCTTCTTTTGAGCCTTGATTAACAGCCCTTAATGCACTTTTCCATGCGAGCTGCCCACCTCCAACCCAAACTCCACAGCATGGCGTTTCTGTGCTCAAAGTGATAATTCAATTAAGCCCATTTACCGTCTTTATTCATGTTCACTTCCAGACACTTTTTCAAACGGCACGCTCGGCACTGGTTTCTGTGAGTTTTGTCAACGGGACAACCGCCCTGTACAGAGAGGAGGAGAGGGGGGCGAGGAAAGGAGAGGGAGAGGGAGAGAGAAGTGTTACAGCTTCTGGTTAAATGTCTATTAGAAAGCTTCTTGCTATTATCCTCCTGGGAGGCCAATCTCCAGGTGAAAGATCGAGCTATTATCTTGATGTTATGGACCTGCTCCCCTGCGGCTCCAGAGCAGTTTCATCCCGAGGGATAAGTACTCCATCCCGCCCTCTGCTGCCTAAATCCTCCGAGGCATCACATTAGATTGGATTACACCTGATATATTACAGCAGCGAGGTGTTTAGCCCAGTACTTAATGGTGCAGGCATGACACAATTAGGTTCATCAAGGGAGACTTAACACAGCGCCACAAGGGGAAAAAGCAAACAGAAATCTGCGCGTAAAATGCGCATTTCGTGCGTAAAGCTGGTAATGCTTTTTGGATGAAAACCAGAGACTTGGTCTTTCTGTGGAATAATGCAGTACCGGCTGCTTAGATTATTTGGGGAATGTAAAGAAATTATTAGACACCACTGTGCACCGAATGCTCACTTGATGTGATATCTTTGGTTGCTTGTTTCTCCACCTTTCCTGGATTTCCATGAAAACGTGCCAAAAACAACAAGATCGAATGCGCAGTTTGCCACAGCTAATTCAGGCCCGTGTGTGAACCACAGCAACACCAGTTAAGGACTGAATTAAATAAACCACACGGAGGCCTTACCTGCGATCCAGATTTGCAGACGTAGGTCCGGTTTCTGCGGATGCTCCTCTTAAAGAATCCCGAGCAGCCGTCACAGGCGTAGACGCCGTAGTGTTTCCCTGAGCTGCGGTCGCCGCACACTTTACACGGGATGTCCAGAATCCGACCTGGAAGAGGCCCAAATGTCAATTAGATTGCATGTTCCCCGAATCATCAAGCACTGGAAGACACTCGGCTCATTTTTCAGATGATAAAGCCTGACGGTGAACACGGTGTTGGGTTCAGAGTGTGGATCTTTTTCAGAAACAATTCACAAGTTGACAGAAAATCATGGCTTCAGAATTTTGCGATTCAGTCACGTGAGTTTCTGTTAGATTAACTCTGGTCGTGTAGACATTCAGTAATAACAAATACACTGGAGCAATAAAAACATCTTCCAATAAATTACTTATTTTTGTCTGACAGCCCCACAGAACACACACACACACACACACACACACACACACACACACACACACACTGGACAACACCCCGCGCCTCGTCCGACCATGACCATGGGAATTCAGTGCACACATTTCAAGAATAAAGTCCGGTGGGAAGCGTCATATCTGAGCTCTCTAAGACAATGGCCTGAGGGCGCACAATGGAGACATTAGGGGAAAGTGTTAACTTAATGATTTTCCCCCATTGAACCTCGTCTGACTGCCTGGATCTCGACAAGCTGCCAACTCCACTTCATAATGGGACTCGACAGCTGCTTTATCCCACAGGTCTATAGGCCCCAGGATTAGGGAGTGACACTGCACCATGAGAATAATGCGCACCAACTCGTTTCACCAACTCAAATGAAGTGTATGTAAATCGACCCTGGTGTAGATGAAAAAAATGTGATTTTTTTGTGAAGATTTTGTATTCAAATCTCTTAAAAAGAAGTATATTTGTATGCATATGAGGGAGGCTTTTTTCTCCTTTCTGGAGGGAAACGCCGTCTATGTAATTACACTGACGTTTTGCCACCTGCTCATTGATTCACCAGTGACCCGTCAAAAAGGGTAGCATGGGAATAACTACTCAGCAGCAAAAACAATGACTTCAGTGGAGAGTTATAGGACTTCAATTGGCTGTTTATTGAGAATCAGAAGGCCGTGGAGGCTATTTGACTGTAGGCCACAGCCGTGTGGTTCCTGGAAGACTCAGAGAATCAGTTTGGATGCAGCGTTTATGTGCGTAAAGAGTTTATTTATGAGCGAGAGCTCCAAGTCATCTTCTCATCAGGGGAGTAATTTGTGTAAAATAAATCCCATGGGTAGGAGAGGGGAAGGGTAAAAATTAGCTTTAGTTTTAATAATTTAAAAATAATAATTAAAAAAATGTAAATATCGTATTAGATGGACTTACACTGATATTTAATAAACCAAATCCAAGCAAGTCAAGTTCATTTGCGCGCTCCCAAAGTTGAATTGAACCAAAAGAGGAACGAAAGTGCAGAAATGTCCAAACAAAAAAGCTCAAAAAATTATTACACTGTGGCTGCTGAGAGTCAATTAAATAAAAATGAGACACAATTTTGTTGTGAAAGGGGGAAATGTATTTAACTTCCCACTGTGGGGGTCCAGTGCGTCCCCATTGTGTGCAGTAATTGCTTGAAGATATATGGCATATTGTATTAACGTAATCACCATCAAGGAGAGAAAAAAAATGCTGGAAATTCAGTTTAACTGAGAAAAGGAAACGTTTCCTCTGACCGTGTGAAATGCAGCTGATTCAGAGCTTTTATTGTAATTTAAAATGTAGTTCTTATTTACAGCAGCTGAGCAGATGGAGATAAAACAGAAGCAACAGTTTGGCTTCGTTTCTGATGAAAGATATTAAAAGAAGCACAAATGTAAATTTAACTTAAATGTTTAGAAGCAGAACAACTGCAGAGTTTCGGCCTTTTATTACGATCACAGTTGGTTTCATTTGAATTCCCGGTGAGGCCTAGAGGCAGAGCTGCGGAGATTATTCATTATTATTGGCTTACGATTAGATTTTAAACCATAAACCTCAAGGAAACCAAAAACTACATAAAAAACTCCATCATTTAATCTAAATCCATGAACACATTTAAGGTAATTTAATTTAAAATCTCCTCCAGCAGCAGCAGACGTTCTGCGCGCACGCACTGAGACAGAAAAGCGTGAATTTGTCCAAAAGATTTCGCCCAGAAAATACTGTCAGACCTGAACGTTCTGCCTTCAGAGATGAAATCTGTTTACTGCGTCTTTTAGCCTTTTAACTGAAAAATGAAATTACAGGCAACAAGTGGCATCAAGTGGGAGGCAAGTGGGGCTCTTGAGGAGGAATATTCGGAACATGGATGCAGCTTATTAGGCCTGTTTTCTTTATCTTATCCATTATCTCTTTAAAACGAAGGCACATATGCAGAAATAGATTGGTTTGCTCATCAGGCGCTTTGATTATTATCCGAGTTGGAAACGGACGCGAGCCTCGGATCAATGCGCTCGTTTTGTTTTTTGTTTTGTAAGGAATAAACGGACTTCATTATTGTAGCGGAGCTCTGAGGACATGAGAAATATCAACTCGTGCTCAAACATTCAGCACTAGTTTTTCTTTTTGGTTAACTTTCTTTTCTCCAGCCTGCTCCGTGCCAGGCCTGTTTGATTCAGCGGGCAGATGAGTGAAACTTACTTGATTTGACATTCAGAATATCCAAACAGCCACTTGTTGAGCCGGTGGGTTTGCTCATCATGGATCCTTGATATATATTTATAGACTTTTAAAGTGAAAAATGTCCTCCTTCTCTTGCTCTCGGTGACAGAAACAGTCAGATCTGTGAAAGCGCAACACTTTTCTCGGTTTCTTTCACCAGCAGCGATGACATCGGCCGAACTCCGGAGCCCAAACTTGACTCAACCTCCGATCGAACAACTCCCAGAATCAAGACACGCGATTGCACATTGCATCAGCGGCTCTTCGGCACGCAGGGACCCGACCTGGAAGCTCCGGCTCACGGCGACAGCAGCCCTCCAGCCCCGGGGCAGCAGCAGCCGGTGCACAAAGTTGGAGTTGTGGTGGGAAGAAAAAAAAAGAAAAGGAAAACCTGGAGCGCATCCGATGGTGCCAAACCGGTGGGGAAAAAACAGGAAAAAAAGGTAAGAAATGTCTGTATTTTCTGACAAGTGAAAGCTTGTTAAACCCCAGAACACGATGTGACTTTGTGGTGCGAGTTCCCCTGAATAAGCCTTGGTAATATTTATGAGAAGTGTCAGGGGGAGGCTGGAGGGTGGAGATCTCCACTTCCTTCATCCACTTGGCTTTCTACTCCAAACTCCAGCCTGACGTCACTGGCGTGTGAGGGAGTGTGTGTGTGTGTGTGTGTGTGTGTGAAGTGCCTCATGGATCCAGAGCCACTGCAAACAACAGAAGAAAAAAAAACAAAACACGTGTTGCATGTATGTTTTCTGCAAAATTAAAATTCGCTCCACAGATTCGCGCATTTACGCACCAACACTGCTGCTAATAATAAACACTAGTCAGCCTGAACCTTGTCCAGGAAAATAATATAAAAGGTCACAGCACATTTTCGAAAAGTGCAGAATAAAACTGTGTTTATGGATCAAAGTTGAGACGGTGCAGCTGAGAACCTGCAGCCATGAGCGGTGTGAATACTTCCAGGACTGCTGAGGCATGCGCGCCACTAATCAGAGGTTATTACGGTGCTCAGGGGAGGGAGGTGAAGTGGGGTTCAGGGGGGCTCAGACCCTGAGCAGTGTCATGCTCCTCTTTTCCTGCACCAACACAAAAACATTTGCTTCCACATACAGTCCTTCAGATTGGAGAAGAAGAGGCCGAGCCGCGCTGCAGACACCGATCAGTCAGAACCACTGGAGCAGATCCAACGGAACATTTCCAACGTGTTGCTCATCAGCGGGGATCGTAGACTCCCAGAGATGACTGAATAATGTAGCACTGTAGAAATATTAGCTCTTTTTTTAGTCCATCCTATTTTCTCTCTCAGGGATGTTTTGTTCCGTCTCTGTCAGTTCAGAACCGTTTCTGAGCTTCTTTCTGAGCCTCCTCGGTGTCGTTTCAACCTGTTGCAGGTGTTTCAGCAGCTCCATCCAAAGGGCTTCACATGAAGGTGGTCAGTGTGGAGTCAGAGCTCACCACATGGAGGGAAACAGACACACTTATAGGAGATCTGAGGCAAAGACAAGGAAGGAAAAAAAGACGGAAGCTAGTTTTTCAAAATCAGTTCAGTTCATAAAAATAATCACTGATCTGTGACTGTTTCATTCAAACAGCAGAGCGCGTTGGACAAACAGGAGATATGAATGAGAACATGAAACATCTCGTTTGTCCTCAGCTCTGACTTCTGTGTTTGTACTTTATGACATAAATCATCCCCTCCATGGCCCACAGCAGTCTGCCTTCAGACTTTTACAGTTTTAATGCGAATCAATTTTTATTTTTCTTACATTTACTGTTTATTTTTCTTTTTTCTTTTTTCTTTTTACCAAACATTTCAACGCTACAGATTAGTGCACGTTCATTTCGTCCAACTACATTATTATTATTATTATTATTATTATTATTATTATTATTATTTACAATCTCTCTAACGGTGGTGATTAAATGGGTTTACAGTCTTGCTCCCAGCAGCCCGTCTGCTCACTGGTGTCGGTGGTTCTGGACACCGGGCGGGTCCGTCCGTCCGTCCGTCCGTCCGGAGGGTCCCGCTCACTGACACCCTGACCTTGACAGCTTGCTGCGCTTTCGCCGGGTAACTCCAGAAATCCATATTCTGTTTTTAATTGTGTTCATTCCCACGGTACACTGAGGGCCATATGGACGCACAAAGTGTCGATTTAAGCGGACAGGGGCGAGGCGGAGAGGCGTAGTTAATTGCAATTAGCCATTGTTGTGTCTTTCAACCTGCCCTTTAGCTGAGCAGCTACTGCTGGAGCCTAACAAGCCCGAGGAGAAATCACAGAATATTCCTTTGATTTTTTTTCTTCTTCTTCTTTTTCCTGAGGGACACACAGAGAGCTGGTGGCCTCAGTGGGAAGTTTAAAAAACTCTCCTACAAAGAGCTCACATATGAATGCTGTCATCATGTGGACTCATTTCTCCAAACTTTTACATGTTTTTAAAGGATTAAGCCTCTTTGTCACAGCAGCAAAGAAAAGCTAAATTATACACCTGTTTAAAAAAAAGGGACAAAAACAGGATATTTCTTAATGAAGTCATTTGATCGCCATTACACCAGATCAATAACATTTTCAGTTATTCCTGAGTGCACATGTATGTAGTGTGTGTGTGCGTGTGTGTGTGTGTGTGTGCGTGTGTATGTGTGTGTGTGTGTGTGTGTGTGTGTGTGTGTGTGGGTGGCTGCTGGGGAGGCTGAATGGTGAATGTGTGACATAATCTCCTTAACTCGTCCTAATCCTCGTCATTCACTGATAGCCTTTACACAAATATAACCAACATCATGGTTGCCGGGGCTGCCTTCTTTCACTTTTTTTTGTATTAGTGACTCTCTTCTCCTCCAACAGTCAATGAAATGACGCGAACAAAAGGGGGCAGTGGATTGTGTATCTGTTTTCTGAGGAGCTCTGCATCAGTATGCGGATACTTGACATGCTATAGGATGGACTTTAACAACCAGAAACGAGCGAGAAGTCACCGCAAAACAATGCAGAGACTATAAACGTGTGTGTGTTGAATATCTGGAGGAGTTTGTGGCAAAACACCTGGAAAAACGCATCTAACGTGTCCAAGCGCATCCCATGTGAAGGGGACGGTGTTGGAGATGTTCGCTTTTACGCACCTGTTGATTTTTGTTTTTCCCCATAATGTAGAAATTACAAAAACATCCCTCCCACATCAAAACAGCATAAGAGATTATTAAAAAGCACAGTTTTTTTTCTGTTTGAAGCGCGTGTTCGGTTGCTTCTGCGCGCAGAGACTCACCGGCTGGAGGCCACAGTTTGGCCATCTTTATGCGCTGCTGTCACCGCGCAGGCCCCGAACCGACCAGGCGGAAACCAATTGGCTTTAGGGAGAAGTCACTAAGCTCCAGAGAGCAAATAATGGGGAGAATTCAAGCTGACCAAAGGCCCATGCAAGCCGTGCATCCTTTAAAACCGACCGGGGAGATCGTAGTCGGTCATAGACGCTGCTGCTCAGTGGAGGAGGTGGTCGTGGGTTCATGATGACAAACACGCAGTCAGGGGAATGTTTGTTAAGCACAGCTGCAAAACAAACAAACTAACAAACACATTCTATTAATAGGACGTGACCTTAAATATGATCAAACATTTGAAATAAGTGGAAATATTCGGTGTGGTTTCAGCACCACGGACAGTTCTGCCGCAGGAGCCACTAAACAGATGCGGGTCACCTGTCGGAGGCTCATTCACGATTCAAAGGGGCCTCAGATGTGTTGGACATCAGTGAAAGGCCTCTCTGAGGGGATGTGAGGCTTCAGGTTCCCAAGTCACACCTGCACATGGGACCAGGTTTGACTTCCAAACTAGTTCTGATATCACAGAATCACATATGAAAGTGTAACGTTTAAGGATGTGTGGATGTGCTGTCAGATGATCAGCGAGTCTTCACCGTTTCTTTTACCCTCAGTAGTCTTTCTCTGGAAGCTAAATCATGAATATGGCACACTGCAGTCAAGTTATAGTCGTAGAACAACAGCTGCATGTCACTGATGATTCTTTCTGGTTTTGTGCCACTTTTGTGCACCTTTAAAAGAAAAGTGGATGCGTTTGTGTTCTCTTATTATTTCACACAACATCCATTTTAAGACAGTGAGTCAACTCATTATCACTTCACCTGCATCCATCTGTCCAGAGGATGGACCGTATGTGCTGCTCTCTATGACTGTTTCTTGTTTGGAGTAAGCAAACGGACTTTTTATTGGTTTGTTTTTAGCTTCATTCAGCGTTGGCGCCAAGAAACACCACGTCTCTAATAAAATAAATACATTAAAAAAAAACATCTTGCTGCATTTCCAAACCTAGCATCCCAGCATTCCCACCACATTCCATCTGATCCGCGTCATCTGGACCTTAACACACCTGTGCCGTGCGCGCACACGAACCGGTGCGCACATTTACGCACGCGCGTAAAGGCCTCACCGCGTTGGTTCCCCTAAAAAACACAGACCCAGGACCCAAACCCAGAAACCCACAAGTCGGTGCGGTGCAGTTGGACGCTCTGACAAATCTATTTGGGGCAAATTGTCAGTGAGAAACTTCCGCTCGAACTGCCGTGGACAAAACTGGCTGTTGGGGAGAGCAAATCCCGCTGCATGAGGGTGGGGGACAATGGGGGGCGAATGTGTTGATGTGCGGCCGGTGGCTGGGGAGGGACAATGGACGGATTAGTCAGTCCCCTGGCTGACTGATTTGAGATGGCTCCTCTCAGCCTCTCGCCGTGGGGAGTCCCATTGTCCCGCTTCTGATTCCCACTTCTCACAAACTCCAAACAAAAGTCAATCTCTTTCTCAAGGGGGGGAAAATATCGACCCGTGTTTCAGCTGGGGAAAGTGACTCAAAAACTTATTTGCCAGAGATGGCTGACTCTCTAACTCCCCTTCCACTCTTTATGTCTTTTTTTCTCTCCTTCCTCCTCCTCCTCTCTGCCTTCATCCTCTTCATTTGCAGTCTTTATTGACCGGTGGTGGCGGATAGCGGAATGTTGAATGATCCCACTTTTTCAGACTCGAGTGGGGCT